AGGTTTTTTTCTATTCTCTTTATTCAGTCAAGTAATTTCCAGTGATGTACAGTAATTTCTTGATCTTCTGTCTTTAAGTATAATGAAAGTACACAATCACTTCTGTATTTTTCTTGAACCTCAGATTTTTCTTTATTTTTCTTTTTTCCTTCTATTGTTCCCACCCCACTTCTTTGATATTCAGTTGTCCCTCTTCATCTCTTTCTACAACACTGGAGAGTGGAAGGTTTCCATGGAGCTGACAATGGCCGTTACTTTTCAGCTGTATATATAAAACATTAATCAGTAACAACAAAAACTCCCAATTTTGGGGAGTTAATTTTATTTTAAATAAAAACTAGAAGGTAAGGGGGTAGTAACTCTTATGGGTTACCACTGTTGAAACTAACAACAAGCAGGAGCATTCTAAAGGAAGAACAAACCATTTAAGAAGACTAGAACTGCCTGATGATTATCTGTCTAGTTTTTTTATACCAATAAGTATAAAACTATAGTACAACTTGGACCTCCCTGGTCTGACACCCTCAGGACCTGACCGGTCCCAGATGAGGGATTTTGCCAGACCAGTGAAGGTCATTTCTGGGCTCCCCCCAGCCATGGCCTCACTACCAACCTCCCAGCCAGCTTCCCTTTGCTGCTGCCCCCTCAGTGCAAACCTCCCAGCCCTGCCACTACAAGCACAGCCCCGCTGCCAGGCTCCTGGCCTCACGGGGAAGCTCCCTTACTGGACTCCAGTTGTGTCACCAGGCAGCAACAACACTTGGGCTTCAGTCTTGTTGGGCAGCCTCCGCTGCCTCCCAGAACCACCTGACAGCTCCACTGAGTATTGCCAGGCTCTATGCTGCACTGCTTGGCAGCTCTACTGTGGTCAGGCTCCTGGTCTCTCAGGCCAGCTTCACTGCCTCCCAGTCCCATCACACAGCTGAGCCACTGGTTGGCAGTGGAGATGCAGGACTCCTGGTTGTGCTGCCAGACAGCCCTGCTGCCGGGTTCCCAACCCCACCACCTCTGGTCTCGCTGTTGAGCTCCAGCCCACCAGGCAGCCCTGCTGCCTCCCAGCACTCTCCCCCCCCCCCCCCCCCGACAAACACATACCCTGCTGCTTCTGAGCTCCCATTTTTGCTGCCACAGGGCAGCCCTGCTACTGGGTTCCCAGCCACCAACCCTTCCAGATGAGGGATGTTGGTGGACCAGAGAGGGATGTTGGACCAGGGATCTTGGTGGACCCTGGTTAAGAGAGGTTCAACCTGTATCAGATAGTACACACATAGGTTACCCTGGTTTGTAAAAGGCAACTTTTCTCACTGTATTTCACCATGCTTTAGCAAGTTCAAGCAACAGAAGAAAGAAGAAGAAAGAAACTATGAATTTTCAGTCTTCCATATTTTAACTACTAGACATTCGCCAACTTAGACCAATATAACTGAACTCACCCTTTTTCAGTCTTGCTTACCATAATATTGGTAAACTATATGAAACAAATGTCATAGCCATATAGGACTTGTTCCTACAAAGCACTGTGCATCCTCAGTTGCAAATGATTTTAAGATCATAGGGCCGGGCTACTCAACTTTGGAAGCCCTAGGGGCCACAATGTTACTCACAGCACATGCCAAGGGCCACAACTTAAGTGCAGTTGCATATACATGCAAATATATACAAATAGCTTTTTTTCACACTGACAGGAATAGATACAAAGCACTTCCCACAATGCCTTGGCACTCCCGGCACCTCTTCCCTCGCAGATAGAAACCCTTTTCCAGCCAGCCCGTGTGCTTCCATCTTTCAATTTTCACCCCGCCTGGGTGATGCCTTGCCATTGTGCAGTGGGTTCCCAGTGGATCCCACCCACATAAACCCAAACTGCACTGCAGCCCACAAACAAACCAGCCATGGGCTGTATGTTGAGTAGCTCTGGACAGAGCAAAATTCTGACTCTCCTGAAATCAGTGGCAAAATTCTCACCCAAAGCCTGTCAGCTTTCCTGAATTGAGAAATTTCTTTTCTACATATTTTGCAAAGGAGATCCATATATACGAATATCATCTTGGTGTTTGTCCACATTAAGAAGTATGAAATCCAGTGAATTCATTAATCAATAATAGGAGATGTTATGGAGAGCAATAATGTGTTTATCTTTCTCAATAAGATGCTTGCAGAGATTTTTTAAAAAGTTAATCAGAATTCTGTTATTGCAACTCCACTTTCTACCTCCCATATCTTTGCTCATAATTCTCCTTGCATCAGGAGGAATTTAAATAACATTTATTTTAGAAAATTAAAACATGTAAACAGCTATCACCATCTACATGACTCGGCTACCCCCTAAAGCTTCTGACCATAAATTTAGTATGTGATTGGTTGGAATTGTGAGAGAAGATAGCATTTAGGTCAGTTTCTTCTCTTGGTTATACCAATTTTACATCTGTGAACTCTATTGACTTCTGTGGAATTAGTTATAATTTGCACTAGTGTCAGTAAGCTCAAAATCTTTCCTGTAAAGTTTGTTTTCTTAGAGTACTTCGCATTGAACAGAGGTACAAATGAATGAGTTGACAAGATTATTCAAGGACATTGTTAATAGTGGCTCAGCTATAACCCATAGCCACATACACAGTTTCCTTAAACTCACTATCCCCATATGCTTCACTGTGTTCTTCATTAGAGCTGCCATATTGTTACCATGTAATAAGATTCAAGTAATCCTTATAAAGTACATTGGAAGAATAGTGATTGACATGTTGGTCATACATGGAGATATATGTTCCTATTTCAATCCATGGCAGGTGGAATTTTTAAAAGTGCCCATCATTGACCTAACTCTGCTTCCATAATGTGAGCAGAGTTCGCCCAATGTAAAGTTGCTTTTTAAAATCCCATACTGAAACTTTACTCATTTACAAAATTCAGACCAGTTATGCAGCCAATTTGAAAATAACTTGTAATCCTGGCTTCCTTAAACACTAACAAAGTCATATTTATTGTCTGTTAGTGCCATGGAGCTTACAGATGTTTTATGCATCACTTTTTAACTTTTGTGTAATGTAGATGGATAACTTTCATTGCAAGAAGCCCCTGTTAAAGACACTTGTTTCACACTGATATTTTTCATATTCAGAAAACTCAATGTCCTAATTAATATTTTTAAAAAGTAGATTGGTATTTTAAAAAATGAACTCTTCATCTCTGGCTTTCTGCTGAATCTTTATTGTTCTAGTCAGAGATAATATATTTATGCACTGTTGTAAGAGCAAGTACAATATAAATTCATGTCTTCTTTCACTTTTTGTTGTGAAATAATGTTTTCATTCTGTTCAAATCATATCAATACACAATGGAAAAAAAATGTGATTTGATAGTGTAATCCTCATTTGGACAGAAATCCCACAGAGATTTGGTCAGATAAGGATGATAACATCCAGTGATGTTAAGAATTTTCAGTAGTTTAGAATTAGGACAGACTCCAATCCTATGCAGAGTACCACAAGGACGGATCACTTCATGAAGCTTCATTGGTTTCATTTGGGCTCTTTGCTTCTCGGGTATTCAAGATACCATGGCTCTGCAATGATTTATAGACCATCTGTATAAATTACAGATCCAGATTATCAGATGTACACTTCTAAACAATGGCTGGATTGCGAGCTGAGCTGTCTTGAAACTCTGGCATAAATAGTATATGTATTTAGAGTCACAGAGGTTAAGGCAAGAATGGACCACCAGATTATCCAATCTGACTTCCTGAATATCACAGCCACCAACACAACCCAGCACGAGCACAGTAAATCTCACAACCAAAATTAGACAAAACGTTGAAGTTCACAGGAGACAATTATGTGTCACAGGCAGAGAATGGGCGGGACTGAGGTACATCACAGCAGAGGCCCCTTCAGTGGCAGGCAATTGATTAATGAGCTATATTTGATCCCAGCAAGTGACCTACATCCCACACTGCAGAGGAAGCCAAAAAAAACCAAAGTCAGTGCACAGCTGATCTCGAGGAAAATTCTTTCCCACCCGCACATATGAACTGAGAGAAAGAAAGGGAGATGCCCTTTCAGAGAGCCATCCCACTCCACCCAATGCCCCATCTCTAGCTGTGGCCCTCACTGCTGCTTCACAGGAAGTAGACAGAAAATAAAAATCTGAGAGTACACTGGGCAAAAAAATAAAAATAAAATAAATCCTTTATGACTCCTATAGATAACTAACTGAAATAGTGAAGCATGACATTCTAGTAATATAAGACATAAACCAGAAGGAATTTGTCCCAGGGCTGCTGATCTCTTCTCAGCCCTACCTCCAATTACATTTGAGATCTTTTGTTTGTTTGCAGTTCAGTTTTCTTGGATTTTTTTATGTACATCTGAATAT